TCACAATAAAGTATTATGTCCACACAGTAACAAAATGTTATCCTCAATTTTCACCTTGTAGCAGTTGAAGATATATCCCGCACAGAACTCCTCAGATAATAATCTGTGGGTTAAAACATTAAATACTGAACACAGAGCTCTTCTGCTTCACTGCTCTTTTCTCGTCACTTTTGTACATTTCTCAGATCATTTGCAATATTTGCCAAAATGTAAGTGCATTCCACAAAACAAACGGCAGAAATACAATCGCATTGAAACTAATAATACTGAATACAGTTTCAGTGGCACAAACTCTGCATTTCTTTGTCATATGTCAAATACTTTTGACATTGTTAGGTGTTAAGTCATTACCTTAATGTGTATTCTCATGTGCCGACATTATTGGTTAGGTAAAAACAATGAAAATGTTTTTAGTCAGTCACCAATATGTTATGTGAAGGTTAAAATGTTTTTTTAAGAGCTTCAATTCCCACATGAGGAATGTACAAAAGTAACACCAACTGTAATAATATGAAAGAGATATTTGCACACCGTTTTGTTACCTGTACTTGTTCTAAAAAGTTTTCACCATGACTGAACCTCAGCTGTCTTCCTGTTACTGCGACAGCTGCCGTTGCTGCAGCTAGTCAATGGGACCCTGGAAGATAAGCCGTGACCAGCTGGGGGAGCCGAGGGCAGTGGAGCAGAAGGGGCAGACAGGTCTGAAGGCGTGGGTCCCATGGGGCAACGGGGTCTCGGCCCAGTACCTCACTGTCTTTTCTGAGCAGACGTGGCCACATGGAATAAATGTGTGCGTAGGAGCGCCGGCGTCCACATAAACTGCAGGTTCACCGCCGAGCCAGAGGGGCACGTAGGGGCCGACGGTCCTGCACAGGGGACATTCACGGCGGGTGGTGGAGCCCTCGCCGTCTCCATGGTCCACCTGCCCCTCAGCTCTCTGGCCCCAATCGTGGCGTCCGTGGACGTGGCCACATGTGAGGTAGACCCAAGGCTGACGTTCTTCAAGGCTGAAATGATTCATCAGGACCAAAATTAAGGTGGAGAAACAAAAATGAAGTGATAAAGTACACCATGGATGCCAGTGGATTCCTAGTCCACCAGAGGGCCACGTAATTCCCAATCTGGATATTTACTTCAGGAGAAGACCACAAAACTGCATTTCTCAATAAACAGGAGAATAAAATACAAATGTGTGCAATTTTCCCACTGTGACAAATAAGAAAACACAGGGCTAGGGTTCACCAAATGTTGGGTTTTATGTATCTGGAAAAAAAGCTATAATGTGTGTTCACCAAATTTGTGCAAGCAAAGACAATTGAATCTGCAAGGACTAGCCATGTCAATACTACGTACAGTATGTGTCTGCCATGGCCTGTCAGCATCACTATGTCACACAGCTGTTGCATCAGCATGTGGGTGCCTGCGCCATAATAGGCACTAGCCCTTAGCAAGCATGGTCAATGTAGATGCAGCAAAGCTAAGAGAAATGCAGAAAAGGCTTACAAGTGTGTCTTTGAAAAAGGGGAGAAAAAGCAGAAAGCAACTTAAACCCCATCAAAGATTTAATGAACCCCAGTATTGACCACAATACAGTCCTGTGTGACTTCGCTGTGTTGCACTGATGCGAGCAACACAGTCAGCAGCAGTGTTTCAGCCATTTCCAGCAGGAAGGGGAAAAGTAGATGGTAATGAAGTTATATGAGATAAAAATAAAGTTGTAGTAGATGGCATTTTTTGTTGTGGAAACAAAGAGATAATAAAACTCGGAAAAAAACAGCTCGGGCCACAGAGCAAAAACTGAGAAAAAGCCGTTAAATTTTCACCTTCAGACAAGTTGTTGAAAATGACAGTAGTTCTTACAGAAGTAGACACAAAAAGACAGAAAAGTGTTTGAGTTTATAGAATTTACACTGTAAACAATCAGTATTTAAATAACGGTTTGATAATTTGAACCAAAAATATCTGGAAAAAAGACGACTTGAATTGATACCCAACCCTTCGTGGAGCCCAGTGACTCTCACCTGTGGCTGCGGGGCAGGCTGGGAAAGGCCAGTGTGCTGAGGCCGACAGGACACTGAGGGCGGGATGCATTAAGCTCCTGGCGAAGTGCCTCCAGGTGGCGCAGGGTTGGAGCACGCATTAGCCCTTCGCCTGTACGCCACAGCAAGGTGGCGCCACACAGATCAACAAGGGACCCATCTCTTAGTGCACTGCTTTCTCCCTCGGCCTGTTGCAACAGTCATAAAAGAACAACTCAGAACCATCGTTGTCAGGGCGACCCAAACACGGCAACAGTGACGACCCAACGCACCAGTTTGCCTCTGCTGGGTCCAGAGCGCGTCTCTCGTAAGGCGTACACGTCCCCACAGACAGATATCTCCCTCCACAGCCCCTGCTTTGGATCTTCAGGGAAACCCCCAGGATGCATCACTAGTACGCCGTTGGTGGTCAGGCCATCCATGTGTCCATCAGGGTTTTTCCATTTGGTTGCTTTTTCCTACAGACATTAACACAAAAGTCATCCACTAAAAAAAGGAAACAAGAATCAGACAACGTTTTAATCTATATTACACAATGAAAGCATTGCACCTTTTTTCACTGCTTTAAAACAGATGCCATAAATATCCACCTGTCTATGACACCTCTGTTGGAATTTAATTATCAGTATACTCACTCCCAGGAAGATATTCTTGGAGGAGTCGAAGCCTGCAGCATAAATGCGTGCAGTGTAAGGTGGGTTGCGTTCACACACAACTCTGCAGGCAAAGCGTGAGATCGTGCTCGGAGCGATAGACGGGTCCTCCCCTTCTTTTCCTCCTCCAGATGTATCTGTCACCACGAAGTCAATTGGACTTTCTGTGGAGCGTCCAATCTGCACAGAGAAAAGGTTACTTTCCTGTGATGTGATTTCAGAAAACTGTGCATCAGGTCATTGATTTTAATACTGATTCATCTGTCTGTAAATGCTACTGATACTTTAGAATAGGGATTTTTAAAGTGTGGTTCGTGCACCCCTGGTGGTGCGTGAGCTGCTACCAGGGGGTGCATTTCAATCATTACAAAATGTGTCTGACCCCCATACCTGAAACATGTCAGTACTGTTGTCATGGCAGTACTCCACCACCACCGTCTGGTTGCGGGAGAGAGTGAAGGAAATGCTGTGCTGCCCCCTACTGTGTACAGCCTGAAACAGGAAGAAGAGAAAAAAGATTAGGAGTTCCTCTTCTGCAGACTTCACTTAAAACACATTGCTACTATAGCAAGGAGAACAAAAGAAAGAACAATATATGAACCACAGACCATAAACACAAATATGCAACTTCTCATATATGAAGAGGATAACTTTTAGAAACAGCTGAGTTCTAATTAGATTTGAATGTCTGGAAAAGTGTGTAGATTGGTGCATTTATTTTGAGCTGAAGATGTTATAAAAAAAACTGTATAATGGTAGGGACCATGCATGCGTATGTGCACACACACACACACATACCTAATAAACAGACCACACGCTAGGCTACTATCCTGCTTGCAGGCTTAATCATCCTTCCTCTGGGTCATTTAGAACAACAGGGAGTCAGAGAACGGAAACTAATGTTACGCACTGATAAAACGTAAACCACACATGAACCAACCTTGCTGTCCTGTGGGGTGTTAAGGATATGCACTGCACTGGGTTTGACTCCATTGGCCTTGGCCCGTCGGTACAGAGCAAAGCGACTCTTTCTGCGTCCCCGGTCTCCGCAAGGAAGAGAGCCATTGTACCTGCGCATGGACAAAAACATGACGGAAGTGAGGACACAATAAAAGGGCCATCAAACCCAGCTCCTTTTGCTCAGAAGTAACATGAACAAATAGAATATTTCATTAATTGTCCAGCTAAAACTCTTACACTGCATACAAACTGCCCCTCGAGATACAACGTAGATCACTGTGAAGAAGAAAAGCTGTGGCAGGAAACTTGTGATTCCAAACTACATACGCTTGATGAAAAGGTCAGCTTTGACTTGACAGACTGAGTCAGCCTGTATCTGGGGTTCGTGTCAGGAGAGGAACATATCCTTTAAAAAAATATTTTTGAGTTTTAAGCAAGTTTCCTTGGCTTAAAAAAAGACTTTTGTCTTATCTGCAGAACAGGGTTTTAATTTAAAATATTCTGAAAAAAAAATCAGCACAAAAATGCCAATACTCAGCACATTAGTTACATCAGAGACATTAAGACACTTCGGGGTGCATGTTCAGTATTTCATTAAGCTCTGACAATGTGATTGGTCTTTGTCTGACTTTTTTCCATTAATTAAAAAAATAGAAATCAATTTACAATTTTTCATTATTTTATATTGAACAATTTGTGAAAAATGTGAACGTTTCAAATTATTTCAAACAACAATATTCATAAAAATAACAGCAAATCCGTAGATATTAATTCGTTTTTTTTTTTTTTAATTACTGTTGAGACTGTATTTCATGACAGATAAATATAAAATAAAATAACGTTGATATATAAACCAGTGGGTGTACCGGGCAGCCTGTCAGTTCTACATTAAAAAAAGACACTTTCTACATTTGTGATTAAATATGTAGACAAATTTAGAATGAGGACTCAGTGCAACCTGTTCTCTCTGCAACCCCAACAGTTACTTCCATCTAAATCTTGTCTTGCGCGAAAAAGAACTGGGTCAGTGATAGATAATGTGTAAGTACAGAACTGAGGGGTCTCTTTAACGGGACGAAGATGTGAAATGTGACTGAAAACGAAGTGGACAGAAGACAAAAATCAGATTTTAAAAAAGAAAGAGATGGCAAGGACCTTGACTGAGACAGAGGACTAGTCCAAAACTACCATAGACTCTAAGCACAGATTACTCCACCCAAATAAATTCAAGTCAGATAAGGACAAGGGGAGAAGACATTAAAAGAAGATGGCTGTAGTTACAGCACAGAGCAGAAGGCAGAAGAAAAACTATGTCAGCGGAGGCGTGTCTCCATTGGGTATGATTTGCCGGCTAGTCTCGGCCAGCATCACGCATGTGTGCACATCATAAAGCTCTATATGAAATATTCACTCCTTCTGCCCCTCGACACTGGGTTTATTTTCGTTGAGGGGAAGTCACCGAGAAGGACTGCTGCTGCGAAAGTCAGCACTCAGCAAAACGGCAACTTGCTGGCAGGGAGAGGACTGGGTGTAAAACGGGGGAATGCGACAGAATGTTAAGAGGCTGAGATAAGCAGGTGTGGAAGGGATAAACAGAGAAGGAGAGAGGATGTTCGGACGGTCATACTGGAGCAGGTCATGCTGTTGTGTAGAGGGAAATGGGGTGACACTGGACTGTAGATGTACATGGTGTCCAGGGTAACTGAGGTAATGAGTGATGGCAAAGAGCCACTGCAAAGATCACATGGCCTGAAGTGAAGCAACCATCAAACACAAGGGGCATGTAGAAATCAAGTCTGGTGAAAACAAAGTAAAACAACACTTGCACGAAACACGACAGAAATATAGCATATTGTAGAGGAAACTGCAGAAAGAACAGTCTGTCCTGAAGCTACACCCACTGCCACGGTGACTGTCAGCCAAGGCACTAGTACACAATAAATAAATCACAATAAATAAATCCTCAGCCATGGTTATCATTACCTTTATGTAATTAGAAATGCAACATTAATATTGAGAGGGTACAGAAAACTGTGAGATATATGGTGCAATGTTGAATCACCAAGGTTATTCAAATGACTCAGTAGTAACCAGTAGTAACCACAAGTATAAGCAAGTTGTGCAAAACGTGAGCATCAATATCATTGAGAATATAATTAGATATGTCATTTTAAAATGCATAAAATGTGAGACTAATAGGTCTAAGAATACTATTATTTGTTTATTTACTGAACAACATCTCCACGATGTGTGTATTTTTCCCTAACAATAGCTGCCTCTTCTAAAAGCCTCTTCTTTTTTAAATTTCAGCATGACACACAGAATTAAGCCCAAGTAAGCATCTAGACTTTTTACATGTTAAAATATATTGAAGATAGATATTGCCATGATCACAGCCAACTTTAACACATAAACTATAAATACAGGGTACAGTTGAACCTTAGTAGTTACTGCTTTAAAGTGAGTCAACACATTTTAATTCAACAGACTTAAATATGACATTGTAAGCATTATTTATCTGCAACAACACTGCACCCTTGTGAGTACATTTGGAATGGTCTTATCATTTCCCTGGTGTCCTCTGATGTTCTAAAGGACTGCTCTGTTCTCAAAGGCAAATGTCCAGGAGGGTAACTAATCAGTATTCTGATACCGATGAACTACAGTCTCCTAACTCCATTTTAGGCCAGAGGGGAAGCAGGAGGCCATTAGGTCAGTTATCTTTGGCATACACAGGAAGTGCTGCATGATCACATCACACACACATCACACCAGGCTTTGGACCTGAGCTGCAGGGCTGGACATGCAGTGAAGGCTGGTGGCTGTCACCGGCTAATCCGGACAACTGTGTGCTTGTGTGTGCTGCTGCTGATGATGATGATGTGGAGGGGCTTTTTCCTTTTCCCTTCTCCCTGCTCCGCCTCCTCTGATCCCTCCTCCTCATCCTGGTCATCTGGGTGCAACGTTTTATTATTTAATAAGAACAGAGTGTAAGATGCGTCCTGCCTCCATCAAACCGATGTGGCTTTTGTGCATGTTTTAACAGCCTTTGGTGTCTGTCTGTCTGTCTGTCCTGCCTGACTTTTACCCTTCGCAGAGACAGCATAGTATGACATCATTCGGATTTTCTGCTAACCAGCCCCCTACAAACACACACATACACACACACACAACCATTGATGAAATAGCAGCTACATCTGTATAGCAGCCTCATGTACTACGACTGTAGCATTGCACAGTTTTCCATTAACCATCAACCACACAACACTTATAAACTTACACAATCAAACAGTCAGATATGAAAATCTATAAAATATAAAGTTTTTAACATTACCATATAATCCATTTGTGGTATTAAACGACGCGAGCGTGTAATATTTCAGCTAACCACCGTTGCTTTAGTCCACAAAACCTCATAAGGTATAGTAGTATAGTATATATTATATTTGAGGATTGAAAGAAAGAAAAAAAACATAACAACGTTATACATTGATTGTACATTGATTGTGCTGATAACGCCGCCACATATTCAATGTTTCTCCATACTGTACGGTTTAAAACTAAATAAGACTTACCCCAAAATGACCAGCTCTCCATATTTTACCGGGTCTTTAACGGGTACTTCATCATCTCCGTCTTTTTTCGGTGAATTCATCAGACTGGACTGGCCCAGAAATAATGAGAAATACAAAAAGAAAGAAACGTGCAATCGTAGTAGTGCGATGAAACAGTGCTAACACAATCAAAAATGATAACAAGTGTGCCGGATTCTTGATCTTTTAAAGTTTGTGCACACTTAGACAAAGTTTTCCTTCACTTTTCCGCACACGTTTTGCTATTGTAAACCCGTTGAAGTGCATCTTTTCGTGGCTTTTTCTGCCAATGTGTAGCTTAGTTTGTATCACGACAAATCTGTTCAGTGGCTCTGAGTACAACAACGGCGAACGGCAGGGAGTGGAGCGTACCATGTCATGCAGGGGTGGAGGCTCCACACACATCGTCAAATATTTTACAGAAAATCAAATTACTTGCAGAATATATGTCTGTTTATTTTAAGATAAATTATTAAAACTTAATTTCAGACCAAAAAGAGAAAAAACACTCAGGGTCAACATAATAAATCCTTTTGAGCGTTAATCCCCCCACAAAGGAACAAATGGACGCAGCCTTATTGAGACGCTGACTCCAGCCGACAGTATAAAAGCAGGGATTTCACTCCAAAACGAACACTTAGTTCATTTGTAGAAATGTAGAGGTATAATTAGGATAATTTAACAAAAGACTGGCGGTTAGAAGCGATATGCTGAAGAATGAATCTCGGGAAGCCCTCTGGACGCAAGCTCGTGGGCTCGTGTGAAGGCTGACGTAAAGGGATGCTTCGAGGAGGCGTGGCGAAGCGGAGATGTGGGTCACCATTGCGCCCCAGACGAGACACCTTCCCTGCTTTTTGTCTCGGTTTCACGTGGGAGCTTGGAGACTTGATAGACGGCGACTGGATCTCTCTCTCCCGCTCTCTCTGTCTATCTCTCGCTCACTCTCTACAATCTCTCACTCTTTCTGTCTTTTTTTCTCTCTTTCACGTCACAAACACACCCACACATACTGAATATCAGTAAGTCTTACTACTCATGGCGTAGTGACCACATGGGGGCACTGCACTTCAACCGCAGTGTAGGCCACAACTTTACTGTTTCTTTAGAAAGTCCCTAAGTATTTATTTATGGGCCACTTGAACAGTCAGGTCATGTGTTCATCTTATTCTTTCTTTTGCCATGCAACTAATTTGGACATAGACTAGAAATGCTTTCCTATGTAAATAGACTGTAATAATAAACTATATCATCAAGTTCCCCTTCAACATCAATAAAGTTGAAATTTAAATTTCTGGTTTTGATGTAATCTTGTTCAGCGACCCAAAAGACTGGTACTCAGTAGACAAGTTATAGTTATAAACATACTTATCACATCTAACATAATATATAGAAACATAATGATGCTGCAATGCACTCATCTTTAGGAACAGGGCATTCAGACTGCACCTCTACATCCCTGGAGGACAGCGATTGATTATACACTCAGTGTTAACCATTACCAACACAAAACCGCCTTCTTGTGCATTGGTCAGTCAACATACTGCAGTTCAGTTCACAAACAGTTTCTTACCTGTAGTCACATTTTTATTCTCAAGAATGGTGTTCCTTATCTTAGCCCTCATCCTTTCTTTTCATTGTTCTTTGGGTGAGAATGAAAACAGAACCGTTGCTGCAGGCTTTTGGACAGGACCCAGATCTGTGGTGTCAGTAACCGAATCAGTTCAGGTGGCCTGGGCAGCCGTGCATGCAATGATATAGCCTCCTTATTGTTCTCGTGGGTAATGAAACATGTAGTGGCTTGTATGTGGGTGGTAGGACAGTGGCGCCATGAAGCATTGTACTGTGCGTGGTGATGTTTTGAGCTGTGTTACAATTGAGTCTGTGTTACTAGAGCAACATCCCAGAGGTACAGCATGTGTGACAACTGCAAAGGGGAAATAGCAGTGACTTTACTCACCTATTTGTAGCCAACGGTCTGCAACTGAAAGAAAAAAATATTGATGACCCTGCAATGAGTGGATGAGTCATGAATGGGCTGCAGTATTTAACAACCACACCCCTGTTCAATGAATGAAAGCCCGCTGCAGTCACAGAGCAAATGACTCAGACGTTTCGTGGAATGTATCACAAGTTGAACCCCCAGCATACTACTTCTCCAGACATAAAAACTGGAAACTGGAAGGACCAGATGTGTGTGTGCACGCATTTCTGATAGAGTGTATTTGTGCATGTTTCTTCACTCAGGGATTAAGGTCACACCCTCCTGTTGCTCTCGCTCCATCCCTCTCACTCTCTTTCCTTATTTGTTCTATTTCTTTATTCTCCCTCTTTGTCCATGTTCTTCATAGAATTACACCGATAACATATGAGCAGGCTTCAAAATCATTCGACTCCATAATACAGCAGAGCAACAATCTGAGGCACAGGTAAAGGATGTGGGAATTTCCTAAACATAAGCCATCAATTAAACAGATAAATTCCCCTCGAGTGTGTTCATGCAGAAACATCCTCCACTGCCTGAATGATTTCTTTGTATGTCTTTTTGGAAATAGACATGACATTTGTGGAGGGAATTGTTTATCGGCGTCCTAATGGACACGGGATGCCATTAAAGAATGAAAACAGGCTTATTGGACTCTTCATTAAAGAAAGAAGTAGTGTGGGAGAAAAGAAAAAAAAATAACATCTACATCTTTCAAATGTTATTTTGGGGTAAAAGCATTATGTAGCCTAGGAGCTTTTTGTTACTTTTTTTGTTTACCACCAAAAGGTCAAAATTCCTATTTATTTTGGGGTAAAAGCATTATGTAGCTTAGGAGCTTTTTGTTACTTTTTTCAATGTTTACCACCAAAAGGCCAAAATTCCTACGTGCACATTCCAAAGTTTTCCCTGGAATTTGAGAAATGCTTTGATTTCATTATAAAACATACTTTAATGTGCCATTATTCCTACAAAATGATTTAATCTTTTAGTATTTAAGTAAAATGCAGACAAACCATGGTCTCATTTAGGTGTCATGAAACCTAAATGAAAAGGTTTCATGACACCTAAATGAAAGAACACTTAGCAGAGCAGATGCTTGTTGTCATAGAGCTGAGATCTGTTAATAAACCTCTTCTACAGTAATAAACCGTGTCCCCCCTCACACCACCTCGCAGCTTTGACACTGCTCTCATCTACTCTTTCATCCTCTTACAATTAAAACAAGTGGAAGTGGCTGTGACTGTGTTCAGCGATGGCTTGGTGTACAGGACAGATCCTGGAGTCACAGTGTGATATCTCTGCTGGCTTCAATATCTAGTTGCTGAACTTTACAAGTGGCTGTCCAGTGATATTTGTATTCATAGCTCATATTGTACACTACTATATTTTTTCAGTAGTTTAATGCAGTGAGTCAGCAGTATCATAAACTCCATTTATGGCATCAATGTCAACGCCATGGATAAAATGTGTCCTTGCAGCCAAACTGCAGTGGAATTTGCAACCTGTCTGTCTATCTGTTGAGCTTTATCTACAGTAGTATGTGAACAACCTTATTTTTGGAAACCGTATTTGGTAAACTGTTCTTATACAGCCTTTTTTGGATATGAAGTTCAATTCAAGAAAAAAAAAAACAGCATTTGAAGCCATTGATAATTTGAAGGTGGTTTTTTTGTGAAGCATGACAAATATGGACTTTGGAGGTTATTCCACTGCAGCAGCATAGTCTGTGTCAACTCATATCAATAGTAATTTATTAAGAAATGCCAAAAACAAAATGCCCAGAATAAATTAAATAAGTATCATAACTCATTATCTAAACATGTGTTGTTATTGTTCTGCTAATACATCATGAAAAGATGTTCACAAAAATTGGATTTCTGTTTTGTTTTTTTGTTGTTATTTGTTTTTCAGCAGTAGTAGACCACTGTCTCAGTCTGGATGTTAAATGATGAAACGAGATATTTGGTGTAAGAGAGAACCAGTCTAGACCACTTAGATGTGCTACAGCCATCTGCTGCTAAGGCTTTGTCAGAGTTGCCATAGAGACAAGAGCAAACAAAGACAAGGTATTTCTCTCATTTTGCATTGGCATTTCTCCTCTCTGTAGTTGGAGCTGTAGATAAACTGCCACAGCAAAACCTGACACTGGTGGATATAATGGCTAACAACTCAGCTGCTGTGTGTCAGCAAACCACCTTGTATTGTTTTTTCATAAAAGACATACCCCGATTCTATGGGCTCTAAATCCTCAGAGTTTTCAACTATAATTTACAAGGTCAAAAAGCTGACCTTGAAGTAATCATCATGTGAATGATCAGTGATTGTAGGCGAGGTTGCCAGTCCATGCAGAGCCACAAACAGAGATAAACAAATTAAAGTGTCCAATTCACCTTATTCCAAATCTGTATGATTCCCTATCCTGATTCCTTGCACTTTGTGATCCTAATGTCAATGTATATATATATATATATTTTTTTTTTCTTACAAGCTTTTGTCCCAGAATCGGCAAACATGATTCTACTACTAATGAGTGACTAATCTACACCAACTCCCTGCGTCACAAATTGTTTCTGTTTGTGTTTCTTTCTATATTTTCTTTTTTTTCCAATCTGTTATTTTGGCAGACATGGTGATGAGCTTCGGACTTTGGCAAACAAATACCATTTGTCAATTCCGAATATGTGCCATATGAATACATTGGATCTGGGCAGGAGCTATAGAGGCTGGATGAGAAAATAAAAACCTGCTAAAGTCTATTTATTTACTTCAGGTTAAATATAATGGCGTTTGTTGTTCGTTTTAGCTTAATTTCTTTTCCCAGGAGAAGGTGTGAACTTGTTGCGCCCAGATATGCCCTTGGGGCTGAGGTTGCCTATCTCTGTGTGTAACTTGTGGTTCGCCACAGTCCCTCTGGTCCTGCTTGGTCCTGGAGTAGCTGCCATGCTGCAGATGGCTCAGCATATTACCATCATCTGTGAGCACTCAGACACAACAGGCTGCACCAGAGGCATTGGCTGCCTGCTGGGAAGACTAATTTTATACACATGCAGTTTGATGCAAAACTCTCAGGATGAATGGAGGTATAGACACACACACACACACAGTAAACATTTTATTGTTGTCCCTGTAAGTGACACTTTTAATGAGGTCATGTGAAAATAATGAAGATAAGAAAGTCACTTGTGCTCATGTGACAGACAGGGTTAACCTTTGACGTTGAGCACTCCATGTTTCTTTCATAAACATGTTTATTTTTTGTTTAAACATTTACTTCATATATTACAGTAGAAACTACACATAGAGTATTTAAGCTGCACATGTGTATCATTAGGACTTGGGCTAACTACTGACCAGGGGGTGAAGATGTTTCCCATGAGCACCTGTCAACAACCTGTCATACCAGCAGTCATACATGTCCATGACCAGAGTGTGCACACGCACTCACTCACACACACACAGCGTAACTGTGGTGGGTTTCTCATAAGAAAGCAGATGGTTCTTCAGACTAGACATTAATAAGAACCGGTAGTACGACTGTGCGTGGCGGTTTATTTTTGGCTCCAGTGTTGTGTGTTATTTAGGGATGAAAGTTGTATCAGTGGCTATTTCTGTTTGTGAAGGTGGGTGGTGGCCAATAGGCACCAGAGTGAGGGAGAGATGTCGACATTTAAAATAATTGGCTCCCTGTTCAGCCTGACAGAATACCACAGCAGACCTATTAATAATTACACAATGTGAGAATGGCAACCTTTCACCTGGGTTTAACAAGGTTTGTTTCAGCAGCCTTTAAAGATTGAGTTAAGGCATCTTTGACACTTATTACTTTTGTATAGCTGCACTGCAGTTGTAAGTAACCCTGGGATAAAGTAAGATATAATTATTGACCATTTTTGTTCGACTCATATTGAAAGGAGCCACGTTTTTTAGTTTCACTGGAGAAAATCAGTCCATAATTACAGCGCCTTTGTAACAAACATATAATTTCCACAGTGAATAACAATACTTCACCAAAGTCTGTTTACTTTGTAACCAGGCCACCGATATATACTGTATTCTATTCACTTCAGTATTTTGCTAATCACAATAATTATCTTCTTTCTCATTCTGTCCATGTGTTGCTCTGGTGCCGTTCCATGTGTCACACAGGAAGGTTGCAGCATATGTCACTTCCTGTCATTTTCTGACGCACTGCTCGGAATGTACCTAAATCAAGAACAAGCTACTGTGTCAGCGAAACACACCAAAAAATCTGTCTGAAGGTGACAGCAACACATATTCAGGTAACTTCACTGAAGTTTGAGACCCACATTAAATCTGTGTGTAAGGCTACAGTCAGCATCACAGTCTCGTCACCTGATTGTTTTATGAAGCATATGTTCTGTTGAGACGGTTATTTTAAAAGCATGTGAATACTTCTGATGTACAGCCCACATTAGTTGCATCTCTGAGCCTGAATTGTTGTTGTACACTTCCCTCCCACAGCACAACTTCAGCGCCAAATGCAAACACAGGCCTCGGGCTCCCTATAATTATTAGCACATTGTCCGAGGAGGAGGTAAATGCAGTGTGTGACAGATTCTGAAGAGCCCACCACTGCCTGGGAGCTGAATGTCATGGTGCATGCTGCTTTTACAACACTGTTTAAACAGGCCCCCTGACAACAGAGACACTGAGCCTTTCAGAGCTGTAGTTATGGCTCCTCCACGCAGCATTGGAGCAGCACTGTCTCAAATCAAATTAAAAAATGCTTCAAAAGCAACACAAAAATCAGAAGTGAGTGTTACCATTAACCAACTATCATCAGTTTATAGAGATCAGGTAAAAAGACAATTTTAGTGGTTCTGTTGACTAGAGAACAGAATGACATGTATTTGTTTTGAAAAGATACTTTGCTTTAACTGAGAGCGAAAGGAAAATTTATGGGCGGAGGGAAATTCCTACATCCTGAAAATTACGTCTGTAAGTGTTTAAAAGCAAAATGTTAATAAAGATGTGATAAATCACAGTTCAAGAAGAATATTAAGCACTAAAAAAGTAAATAAAAAACGTGCAGTGTGCAAACCATCTCTCCACATCCATCCTCTCCTTCAGGTAAAGGTATTGCACTCAAGATTCAAATTGGAAACAAATAGTTCTTGTGGCTTTAGGACAGATCCGTCACATTTGTGTACACTTTATTAACGGCTGGTTTTCCTTGAAAGTCCAGGCAGCATCACTCTCACATTTAGTTATCACATTGAACTGATACCAGGAAACCCAAGAGCAATGTTGTCTGTAATTTGAATGGAGAACTAAGTTTAAAATAAAGTCAGAGCAACACCCACATAAACAAATGAGAGACGAACTGCCACTCCGCTCTGTTTAAAAGCATTGTTTGGAAGCATTCAGTTTAAATGCATACAATAGTCTGGTTCGCTCCACCCTCCCTACAGAAAACACAGCAGTAAAGCTCAGGACTACAGTTAAAAGTAAGAGAAAACAAAACCTGTGCACTATTTCTCTTTCTCGACTTTGACTGCTTTCACTCTGGACTGGTCACAGGAAACAGAAGTGAATCACTTCTGAAGGCCACTGCAGTGTGAATGCTGATGGTGACGATTCCAAAGAGGAAGTGAAAGATGTTGCATCATTTAGATTTCTGCGTCATTGTGTGAAGACTGGAAAAGAATGACTGCACCTTAAGAACAGAATGATAGTATTGGTAACAAGGAACACAATTTAGGAAGTACTGCATTTTTAAATCTGGTTGTGTGACGTACAAAGTTCTGGTCTAGGATGTTGCCAAAGGAAGTGACAGAATATCACTGTAAACTTGTCAGTAGGACCAGAGGAAAGATTTTAGATTTTAGAACACTCAATCTGTCTCAGTTGTGTGGTGTAGTTCATATTTGAAACCACAAGGTTTTTTCTGGCTATTGAAGGATTAATCTTTGATTTTGCAGCATCCCCTACTGATGACGATAAACACAGCATACATTTTCTGTGGCTCCTGAAGATGGCAAGGATTAATTATTGTTTCTTAATTCATTTATTTAGGGGAAGCCATACATTTATATGACTGAATATTTTAGCTTCTTAAGTTAAGGTCTGTCCACTGATGAAGGATGCAGGACACAAATGACAGTGCTGTTGAGCTGTGTCCCTTAAGTGTGGGCCACAGGTGAGGCTGGCAGCATTCGACACCAGCCACTGTGTGCAGTGCATCTGCTGCTGAGTGGAGTGACAGCTGTACAAGAGGCCCCAGACGTGTGCAGGATGATTCAGGATCACAGTGCTGACGTTAACATCAGGAGTTGTTTCACACTTCACTCCTAATTCTCCCAGAGAAAGGATTACGCATTTTGAGATTTTACATAGAATTCCACAGAAGGGAAGTCGCAACTAAACAAGATCCTACTTGACAGTAAAAGGGCACAGCCTGACACTGTTTAAATAACGTGGTTTTGGTGCAACGTCGGTCTCTGTAACTGCAGGAAATTCCAGGAACAGGAGCCGCTGATTCATTGGGCATCGACTTAAAAATGACAGGCAGGTTTCAGCACAGATAAAAAGCTGCTAGAGTTGTGCGTCCACCTTATCTGCCTGTTCATGTCCTTCATGCCGGACGCAGCTTTCAGCACAGCAACAGGTCAAACTTCAAATCAACAGCCACTGAACAAACAG